ATAAACACAGCTAATATATTTAAAAAAAGCTAAAAGGCACTAGCTATCGCTATCACTGGTTTATATATAGTCATTAATCTTACAAATCTTCCTGAGCACTTCAAGTTTCGATTTGTTTTGCACTAGTAGACAGGAAATTATTCGCAGAAATATTGTTATTTTATTTTATTGGTAAGGTAAGATTGCAATAAAATATAGGATTAAAGTAAGGTTGTTCTTTGTTAACACACAGTATGTCTTTTGTGAAATGAATTAAAACCTTATTTCTAATGTTTTCAGCTGGTAATATTAACTATATAATAGAAAAAAGTTGAACACATTCCATAACTTTTGAAAGCATAAAAAGAGTTGAACTCAGGTCCAATTTTAAAGGCACGGCAAACATTCAGACGTTGAACGTCTATGATGCGCGCGCTAAACCCTTGCACCAACATTGGTCATAGCCCATAGCACATAAACTTAAAAGTGTTTGCTCACATACACAACGACAGAGCGATCTAGTAAAACGGGTGACAAATGACAACTAAAATTGTAACACTTTTAAGCTCTGAAGTTTAGAGTCTAATTTTCTGTTCCCATTTCGTCAGGACTGAAATGAAAGTAATGGTAATTATGTGTACAGTTAGTCGTCATGTTAGCACTAATCGTCCCGAAGTCGCGTGTTAGCGCCTCGCCCGGTGTCCGCAAACATTGGGTATGAATGGACCCTTCCGGATTGCGTTTATCTCCTCTTAAAATTATACAAAAGGACTGTTTAAAGTTATAAAATAGCTTTATAATATTTCAATGGCAATATAAATAAAAACTTTTCATTAGGTGTCCTTTTTCTTTCAAATAAACTTATTACAGCGTACTTTGGAATTTAAAAAAGTATAAGGTTTTAATAATAAACATATATTTTTGATGTGATTGATTTTTAATATTTAATATGCGTTTCCGTGGCATTTATTTAAGATTAGTAACAACAAACTCATGACATTACATCTTTCGCTTTTCTAATAAACTTTTGAAAAATTAATCAACTAATACAAAACACCCATGTAGTTCTATCGTCAATTAATAAACGACGCGTCAACAATTCTATTAACGTAATCATAAATAGATGTAATGAACTTTCTTAATCACTCCAACAGTATTCTCGAGCCAAGTCGACACCTAACTGCGGTTAGCGAATAAATCTATTGTTCAACGCGTAAATATCACTGAGATGTAAACCTGGTTGAAAGAATGCCAGATATCCAAAAGTTTGGGGTAGGTCATGGCTGTTGGTAATAGATTTCATTCTGTAAACCTTAGAGCCTCTTTCATAACTTACAGCTTAATAAGTTCTTATCGAATAACAACGACTATGTTCCATTAAAAATACTTTGTATATAGGAAGTACCTCCAGGATGTGATATAGGACCTCAACTGTCCTATATCACATCCTGGAGTACTGAAAACTAAATGTCACATGAAAGCTTAAATTAGCTCTATGCATATTTTTTAAGCATTTTCTTATGTTTATTGTAGAGTACAATTGCCAATTACAGTGTTTAACACTTCTTTCTTTGGCACTCTTGACACTTCATATACAATTTTAGTTAATAAAACATTTTTCATTAACAAAAATTATAATTTGACTTCTAAAATCAATAAACTAAATTGATTCCAATGACGTTTGTATTAGAACTATTCATGTGTTGATTTAATTTGTTGGTAACAATTTCACCATCATTATTTCACTTCCCGTTTGAGACGAGTTTCACACCAGATGGTGCTTTGAAGAATAATTAATTGACGTACAACTTATCACTCCTAATTTATTCGTCTGGATAGACAGCAGTGTGTCGCCATCCTGGCAGTAGGCCATTGAAGAAACACATAAAGCAATATCTAACCTAATACTTGTAAATAAATGTCAGTTTGCTACAGCAAAATTTATAGTGTTTTCATAGTTAACTAAAACGCCACTGTCTCTGAGAAACACCTAAATGGAAGCCAAAATAAATGAAAATCGTTGAATGACGTCTTTATGTAATATCTAGCAACTGATACTAACTACGTTAGATGTAAACTGCGTGATTATACAATTTTTGAGTGTGATACGGACTCATAAAACTTGACAACAGTTGTAAATCTTTGAGAAAGCACCAAATACTATCCTAAACACTAAAAAGATAAACGGACCAAAGGACAAAATCCTCACATCTATAAAGTTCAAGGTCAGTTCGTCAATAAGTTTAATATAGTTACGGTCTCATTTTCCCTTGATTCGAGAGATTTTCGGGTTGCAACAAAACATTTATAGGTTTTGATGGTTTTCCTTGTTATTAAATTTCATTAGTCTATGTCAACTTGTCTACTAAAAGGAAAATTTTAAGAATAATAACCATAAGGACAATGCATACTTAACATTTATGGTGCCTTATGAGTATTCTTCAAAAAAGAATTTAGTCCAGTTGTCATGCCTGAACCCCGTTATAAGCGATGGTAGCTAGACGTTCTTAGAGATGGGTAAAAATATTTCTGATGTCGATATTGATAATATTTTGTGTTATATACCTAAATACATTTATTTTTAACTGTTTACCCTACTCTAAAAATGTTCAGCTACCAAATTGCATTACTACTGGGTCTAGATGTCAAATAAGAATTCTGAGCTTCAAGCTTCTTCCATAGAGAAGGAAATCTAAAATAAGACATAATAATACCAGAGTTGTATTATGAAACGGCGCCTGCCGATGTAAACATTCAAACAAATATTCAGGGTTAATAAAATCATTCTATACTATACTGTAAATTTCTAAAACACCGGCAGCGATCGTAATTTACCATACTCCTTGACTTTTACTGTTGTGTATGTACTTGAATTTTTACTGTTGTAGTAAAAACGTGAAATTCGATGACTAGATGTTCAGGAATCACGTATGAGTTACGCGGATGTTTCTATTGGCATTTGTTTGTTTTACATGTCTAGAATACACAAGCGTCCAAACACCTGCGGGGTTGGATTTGGAATCGCTCAAATCAAATTCTGTCGACATGCTTAAACGGTCGATAGTAGACTTCTGAGCTATATAATAATATTTTATTGATTTTATAAGTCGTTTGTTTTAGATATTGCCAACATGCGAAATATTTAATTTTATTTATTCCAAGAAGAAAGTATAAAATAAATGTCTAATTAAAATTTCAAATTATACCAAATCAAGTGGTAAACGAACGATCGACTTAAGACGACTCGTTTAAAAATAGGACCCCGAAACTTACATTTCCAATCAGAAACCGTGTCAGTCATTTATAAGATGTCAACATGCAATCACAGGTGTAATTGATTGCGAAAACTTTATTTATTACACAGGTGATATTAATTTATTTCTTTTAATTATCGTAATTTATTTAACACTAAACTAATTAATCAATAACTATATGAAACTTATTCAAAATTGTAAAAAAAAGTACAGTATGCTATATCATAATGGAGATTATAAAATTATAAAATAATCAGTAAACGTGACAACAAAATAGAATAGACGTATGCCGATTGTCCGAATAACTGTAACATCGAACATCTGCAACAAATTATCATGACGCTCTAGAACAAATCAATCAATATCTATCAGGCACGTTCCTCGAACATAGACTACAGACAGTCATGTCTAAATTTATTTCAACGTTGCTTCGCACTCTTCTGACAATGAACTCTTATGTTGTAAACAGAGGATCTTTTAACGCGACCTGGGGATCGCCTGTCCGCGCTCAACGTGCCTGCTCGTAAATCGATGCTGGCCACATGACGTTAATAGATCAGTATGTCAGCCTCATTGGTAGATATTGAAACTTTTTTCTTTACGAGTATATAAAACTCTTTTCAACTTAACATCGTGTATATATCGTAAATGGATACTCGCCTCATGAAATAAATATATATATTTTTAAATGACTATATAGAGGTTTTAGGCAAAGAAAAATATAAATTAGCTTTCTAATCGTTTATTAGGAAAAGATCAGATATTCTAAGATATTTGCATAAAAATGTTGACCTTAAAAAATTGTTGGTTTAACCGCTTATTGTGTTTCGATTTTATTGAAGATAAAAATGGTATTATTTATTTCTTTCCAGTCGTTTCTCTTCATTACGGTTTTATGAAGTCAGTTTATTTTTTTAAATTATAGATTGGTAAATTACAAATTATTTACCAATCCAACCAAATTATTCAACCAAATAATACCAAATTATTTTAATTACTTTTTACTAGCTTTCCACCACCGACTTCTCCCGCATGAGCCTGTGTTACACATGGTATTAACGACTGCAGGTACTTAACGTGCCTCCCGAAGCATGGACGAGTTCGAGATGATAGACTTTTGATCACCCATCCTATGACCGGCCATAGCAAAAATTGCTTAACAACCGTATCGCAGACCGAATAATTACATAGAATATTTATTACAATTCTCTACCAATTTATAGAGATGACATACTGACTAGAAATTCTTTACACCAGTCAATCAACATCGCTATTACTTGTAGTGCGTCGAATTTTACGACTGTGATTTGGTAACACTTATTTGGAAATCGCTCATAATAATTGCTGTTACCGGTGTACGATTAACTGTATTTAAATATAGTTCAATTTTTAATTAAATCGATTAATTTCCAAACCGACAAAATAATAGACTAGCTTTCAATTAGTTTACATATATGTTGATTGTTTGGTAGTACATTTAACCCTAACGAATTGTTTAATGGGGATTAGCTTAATATTAATTCAGGCTTAGAATTATCCGTATATCAAATTTTAACAAAATCCGTTCAGTAGTTTTTGCGTGAAAGAATAACAAACATACATATCCTCACAAACTTTCGCGTTTATGACATTGGTAGGAAAAAATTGCGGAATATAAATAAAAACTTTCAATCCGTGTAAAAGTCACTTGTATTAATTTTTATTTTCATAGATCTATTCCTATCTTGGCATTAGGGCTTAAATTTTTATTTACTACGTTCTTTCCAGGGCGTCTGGCAGTGCAGTGATCCTGGACCCACGTATGGTCTGCAAGAAGAACAGGCGCACCAAAGGACGTCTTGCACAAATCTGCCGCAACGAGACTGGTCTACTTAAAGAGATCACCAGGGGCGTCACCCTCGGGGCCACGGAGTGCGCCTACCAGTTCAGGAATAGGAGGTGGAACTGCACCACGCAACGCCGCAGCATGAGGAAGATACTCATGAGAGGTAAGCGAAGTCTTTGAATATAAATCTGTCTCGAACATAATAGCTTGCCTTACAAATATTGTCAGCAATTATCTGTGTATCTATTTATATTCGCTGTATAAATATAATTATATGTAAGTTTATTTATTTTATTGGTATGTCATATTTTATTATATATTTATTATAAGTTTAGTATTATTGTTGTTGCAGTTTTATTTAAATTACTTGTTAATTTTTATCACTATACACCACTCCCAAAGGCATTTTTCCCAAAGGTTGACTGGGAGGGAATGCCATTAGTATTAAATCCGCCTTCTGTACCATGCTTGTATTGATCAATAAATAAATAAATTAGTAAGTTTTTAGGTTGCCATCATCTTAGTACAAAGTGGAGATACCTCAAAGTACAAGGTTTCACAAGTTTGCGAAAAGATGTGATATTTATATCATTTCTAGAGTTTCGTTCCTAAAGGGAAAAAACAGGACCCTTTTTTTTCCTTTAGGAACGGAACCTTAAAAATGAGACGGCGATATTTCACCATTCTATATGAACTGTAATAGCTAGACAGTTGAAATCTTCATAAATGATGTATTACTTTTGCTACTATAACAACAAATATTAAAGACAATAATTTAAAATTATAAGAGGGCTCAAATTCCAATAAAGTAAAATTTTCGTTTTTTATAGATTATTGTACTTTTCGTGCAAGAGTACGATTTGCCTTTCTTTTTATTCCGCCGCTTTTTTTAATCGAAAAATGTAAATATATGCACAGACAAAAGCTTCTAAATGAAGAATAGAAAGTAAAGCATGAGAGTTTTAATTATAACTGTCAGACATAGTTTTGAATTCTGTATAATGCGATCTCTTTCATACATTTACAATATTTAGTGTAATTTTAGTCTATTCTAAATAAGCTAAAATATTCTTAATTAGAAATGCTTAAAAAATCCACTTTGTACACTAAAATACACTTCACAAAAGTCTCATCTCAGAGTGCCAGGCAATCTGGGACAGTGTATTTATTTTTACATTTTTTACTAAGAATATGTTTATTTGTATCATCGTGAATGCAAAATTGTTCAAATATAATAATTAGCGACAATAGTTAGTATTAAAATAATTGAAGTAAACTGGATATATTTACATGGTCTCCTAGTTTTTTATGACTGAATAAAACCGATACTAAATATGTACAGTTAAAACATGCATCTTAACAAAGTATTCGAAGTTAAAAGGCTTATAAAAAACAATCAATGAAGTTTATGGATGTAATACTAAGATTTATCAATACGTCTTAAGGAAACCGCATTTTTACAATCGTAACACCAAACCCCGTGAATCATTTAATACCGGGCTTTTATTGAGGCAACTATTCGGACACAAAAGCTCGTAGGTTTATCAGAGAGGCAATGAGTTCATTAGCATTTTGTGATATTGTAAAATGTGGGCAGAGGTTTGCTACCTGCTTTTATTAGATGGGCAAAATGCGAAATGTGTTAAATCGCTCAGATGGATATCAGACCTAATTCGATTAGCTCAGAAGAGTTGATTTTTATGCGACCACTCGTTTTATCTAAATATGAACGTTTAGTGATGCGAAAAGTTGAGGCTTGGCATTTTGTTATTGTTTTAAAATATGTAAATTAAGTAAATTGTTCAAATACTGGAGTTCTAAAGCCAATTTTACAGTTATTAGCTTTAATTAGAAATGCTTACACAAATTCAGTACAGGTTATAATCGATTTAAAGAGAGTGAACTTACATAAAAAATAAAACACAGTGTTATCAAAGTATAGTTTAAAACAAATTAAAAAATGTTGTTATTTAGTCCAGCGTCTTGAAAATTTTGGCTAGATTATTTTCTGGAGTGAGCAGTTTCAGGATAATAATATCCCATAGTCTTCTACTTTTAAGCAACGGTATGTGTCGTGGGAGAAAAAACTTGTGAGAGCTCTAGATTAAATAGTGGGTAAAAAGACACGAGGGTATACTGGAGAGCGTCAAGGCAGGTCTCTTCATAGTGGATAGGAAGGGGAGTAGGTCGCGATTAAGCCATTCATTTTTACTGTAGGGACCAGCTACAATGAAAGGAATTCACCCCAGCACGCGTAGCATGACGAACGCAAGAACGTTTTGTCTACACTCAAATGTCAACTTTCTCGGGTGCGCCCATACGATATCTCACTCTCAATCCGAGAAACTGACAAATGAGTGTAGACAAGCGTTTCTCGACTTTGTCATGCTACACGTGCTGCATTACACGGCCTCGACTAACTAGAAAGAGGCTCAAGATCTACTCGAGACTCTCCGCCAATAAGGGGACCAAATATCTCGTTACGGCGGTTAACATCTTGGTGAATAGTTTACAGTTTCCCAGGTTTCATACCCCAAACTAAAATATAAACTGGTACTTTTAATTCAAATTAGCGAAATTGAATTTGGTAATTTTCAAGAAATATGCCCATCACGACCCTTGCCAATTCAGTTAGATTGCAATTCTTAACTAGAATTACAGTGGATGGAATGGAAACAATGTCAAAAAAAGTGTGATGAATTTGATTCGTATAAATAATTGATTCCGAAACACTCTTATCAATAGAAAAGTCTGGAAAAGTCTTTTGAAACAGACGATTATCTGGTGCGAGCACAGAGGAGTAAGAATGAAAGATTTTTCAAGAGATCGAGACATTTCTCCTTCTTAAGTAAAAATATAAAGTGGAAGAGAGTATACAATAAAATACATTGTTATAAGTCTAGTTAATGAAAGGCTTAAAAACGTGAGCCTTTCCGAATTTAAAAAGAAAGTCTTATGTCTTATGTATGTGATAATCAATGAATGCACAAATAGATATAAAACGGTAAGTACCTAGTGGTATATACAGTACAAGAAGAGAGCATGGTTGGATTACCTTGTCTCAATTTTGCATCAGATTGATAGTATAAATGCATAGCCAATATAAGAATGAAGAGTACCTATCTATAAAAGAATAACTTGGGAAGATGAAGGAAACTGACGTGAAACTCTGGATTTGAATACTAAACTCTTTCGGAGTGTGTGTGGAGTGAAGAAGTCTCGATGTTGTGCGTCAGTGTAAAAGTTAGAGAAGATGAAGGCTAAAGCTGGGGAGAGTCTTAACGCCGCCCTAACACATAAAGTATTCAATTGTTTAGAATGGTTGAGAGAATATTTTAAAATTATTTTCAGAACATTGATACAGAGGACGAGATGGGGCTTGCGTCCGAAGATCGGCATTATTATGGAATAGACAAAATAGTCGACAAGAAGTCTTAAATAAGGAGAAGCAGTGGAATTTGATAATGTTTTTGCGGATATAATCAAGTTAAGTGGTGTTTAAATATGAGATGTTTTTTAGATCTTTGCTCGGAGGCAAAAATAATACCGACGGATTGGAGTCGAGCAGTCATTGTTATTGTACAAAGAAAGACACACGTATCGACTGCACCAATTCACCTAATTTTAATAAACCATGAAAGAACGTCATATTTTTTTTCGTTCTCCAAATTGAAATATCATATTAAATAAAAGTCCTGAAAACACGATAGTTTGATCGATATTATATTTTCACATCGATAGTGGCACACCACTATCGACCTGACCATTAGTTTTCGACGTGCATTCATTTGGGAGTCATTAGCGTAAATTAAGTGGTATTTGTCAAAATTTCGTCTGCATACAAAATATTTATAAACGCCACCACCATGGGCTTTTAGAACGTTCGTCAATAAATTATCAGCGATTGTGCCCACACCTTTTTGGTGTAGATAATCCGAGCAAAAAAGAAATACCCAAAGTGTTTATTACGCATACGTTACTATAAAAATAAATTACGCAGATATTAAATGTCAACGCTTGTTTTTAACGAGTCTGTTGGAATATCGAAAGCTATTTTGCAAATGTAAAATATATTAATTAAATATTTTATTTCTGGGTATGATAGCTTAATTCGAAGCTTTGATTTCATTAGTTTTTTATTCGACGTATCGTTATCTTCTTTGGCAAGAAAAAAAGAACGCTTCTAAATCCTAAATTGGGTTCCGTATTCGAGATAAGGGAAGACTGAAGTGAGGTCAACTTTAAATTAATTATTATGAGAGTAAAACAAAGTGCTAGTCGCGTGGGCGGCGAGTTCGTGGCGTGGATGGACGAAGGTAGTGGGGGAAGCAACAAATTAGGTTAAAAGCCTATAAATTGATGCGAACAGCGCTGGGTGGCGCAGGCGCAACGGCATAGAAAACTGAATTAGTCCCGGATCCCTTATCATTTGGTGACATGAAAAAATATCAGCTACAGGCTGTTTTCATTAGCAGGATATTTTATTATTTACTTTTAATAAATATCCAAAAATACTGAAATTTATTAGTCTGTGCGATTTAGATGATAGTGTATAATTTTATGATATTTTATTTGATAAAGTGTATTTTTTAAACATTTTTTATTAAGAATAATCTTATGATGTTTAGTAGTAAAAATGTTGTATTACTGTATGTGTAAGCAATACAAAACTTTTACTACTTAAATATTTTCCTAAGCAGCTTTCGTTGTTCCATTCTTTTAGTTTTTTTCTTACTCAATATGATTTAAATTGTACACCATTATTTAAATCACTAACACACACTAAACCATTTCAGTATTTTTGAATATTTACAGATTCCCTATTAGTTAAGAGAAAATTATTTTTACGTCTTTTTGTCATATTTTTGTACGATTCGAAGAAATATTATAGACAAGCCCCCTGTATTGTTAACAGAAATCATAAGAAAAAATAATCATCGTTAATTGAAACCCTTCATTAGTAAGACCGTGCATTCCAGCTTGTTTTATTTATGTCAAAACTTTATCAATGAATATAGTTTTCAATATTTGGTACTACATTTAAGTATTATAAATAATTTGTTTATTACTCATACAATAACAAACTAAACCTAAATTTAAAACAGTTAAAAATATTTTGTGTCTTTATGAAAGAAACGTTCAATAAAAAGACACAAAAAAACA